AACGAGCCAATTTTTTAAAATGTAAGGAGTAGAAAGTACAGATATTTGTTCAAAAATGTGAGGAGTAGAAGTAAAAAGTCGCCATAAAAACAAGTAGTAAAGTAAAAATATCAGAAAAATCTACTTGAGTACAGTAACGAAGTATTTGTACTTCGTTACTTCCCATCTCTGCTAACAAGCTGCTACAGTAAACCACACTACTAGCACCTTAACCCTTATGTTTCTTTTTAAGCGCTCTATGAAATGTAGTGTTGCTTCATTTTTAGGAAAATGTTTCTAGAACTACAAGAAAAGTGGTTTGCCACTGGAGCAGAAAGACTAGTTATCTCCCATATTTTGCATTTTTGTGCTTCAAGTCCTTTTTATATATGGCTTCATTGGCTTTTGGTAATTAAGAATACATAACATAAAGACAACATGCAACTGTCCCAGTGAGCCATAGGATCTTACTTATTTTAAATCTTTGTCAGTGCATGAAGAAAAATAATGTCATTGCTTTGAGTAGCTAAATGCTAAAATAGCCATTCAAATAATAAATGAATAGAATAAAAACACTTTTTTTTAGTACTTTGGATTTACTGCAGTAAATCTTAGCAGTTAAGCACAGAGTCAACATTTTCTCACTTAGACGGCCGTTTTCCTGTTTCCAGGGTCTACTTTTGGACTGATGACCACGGCAGGAAGCTGAAATGCTCCGCTCCACTTTACTTTGACTACGCCATGTCGTACATTCAGGAGCTTCTCACTGACGAAGATGTGTTCCCCACAAAAGCAGGTAGATTTTCTCTGATAGATTGTGGTTGTTCTGCCACACATTCTTCTCCATTTATATATATCAAAATGTTCATATTTTCTCCTCACCTCAGGTGCAGCATTTCCAAATGGATTTATCTTCCTGGTCCAGAAGGTGTTCTTGCTGTTGTTCAGGACTCTGGCTCACATTTACTGGTCTCACTACAGTGAGGTCCTAGTTCTAGGTTTGCACCCACACCTAAACACACTCTTCTGCCACCTGATGCTCTTCTGCCAGCAACACTCGCTGCTGGAGCCTGAAGACACAAAGCCTCTGCAGGACCTCATCACGGCTCTGGAGCAGCACAAATGAAACGCTCCTATTTCCCTAATCTTGCTTATTTATTGGTATAGTCTATAATATCTGACTGTTCTTGGCATAAGTACAGTGTATATTGCAGCTTAGATATTTTTCTGATGCGAGATTTAAGAAGATCTGGAAGCATTCACTCAGAATTGTAAGCTCAGTTATTCAGTTATTTTCATTTTTATCATAACGCCTTTATTGCATGTTTGTTTTTAGTATAACTGTGCCTTATTTTATTGTAAAGGTCCTGCAATATTATTGTGTGAATGCAGTTACTGTACGAGTTCATAGGTGTATGAAGATTTGTGACAAACAGTCATTACATGTTGAAAGACTGAATGTTTTTTATTTAATGTCATTTCTATGTGGAATTCTGGACTTCTAACCAAAGCCCGGTGCAGCCTTTAAAGTGAACAACTGCAGAAGCTGCTGCCATTAGTAAAGTCTGGAAATCACATTCTCCTTTGCTCACTTTCTGTATTTTTGTTTTTATTTCCATTGTTGAATTTTTGCATTAAAACCATGCAAAATAGTAGCTGTGCAGCGGCCACTTCATCCTAACGTTATTGAGACATTTCAATCAAACTAAAGGTAGCTCATATGTTTTGTCCACAGGTGAGATATTTATTCCTTGCATGATTTGACAACAAATATCATTGTTTTGAAAGCAAACAAAACATTTGAGGAACTGCAGTTATCAAAGTTACGATGGTTAAAAAAGAAGAAAATGTCCAGTTGATGCTGAGTTTGATTAATATAAAGAGAGATGGAAACTGAGACTATGTTCCTAAGTTCACCTAAATTGGACATGAATGTCTGGAATAAAACCAATGCCTGATCCAATGAGAATCAGTTTAGAAATATCAGAATATGACTTAGGGGGAAAAAAAGGCTCTGTAAAAAGTAAAGACATGTAAACCAACTTTTTACCATGATTCTATTATCTTGTAAAATTGTTTTAATTTCTGTAACTGTAAAAAAGTTTTTCACAGTCTTCCATCTTTTCTTCTCCTTAGTTTGTTAAAGTATGACACAGTGGGATCTGTTTTTATTATGTTTATTTTTTACATTTGATCATTTTTAACCAGGTGAAACTTAAAGTTTCTTACTGCTATGTTTTTACAGCTTCCTTCTATGCTTTTCACACATACTATTTCATATATATATTTATTTTAAACATATTTACAATTTAATTAGGGAATCAAGCAAACTGTAAGATGGTTGTAAGTCCCCAAAATAAAAAAAAACACACATTGCAGCAGCCAATGATCTTTAGGGACTCTTCAAGGAATATTCCCTTAATTGAAATCCTTAGAGGGTTTTCCCTGAATATTCCTTTGTTGTGATGTCAGTTCTTGGTACTGGATCCACTTTATCTCATGGCTGATTAAACATACTAAATGCACACGTGAAAATATATTCCAAGAGTTATCAGTAACATACCACAACTCATCCTTGCATCAGTCGTCGTTTGATCCGTCTGTTCACACAGGCTCACCTGGACCCTGACTGATTAAAAAAATTCACTTGACCTCCAGACTTTTTATATAATGTAGCTAGTGTATTTTAAATGGAGGGCCAAAGTACTTAATAAGTAATTAAATATAAAAATAGTCATATATGAGAAAATCAAAAATAAATGAAACCATTCTTTAGTAGTAAAATGCAAAATAAATAGAAAACCAAATCGTTTGGCAAATTATTTAATTCATGCTTCCTATTTGCAAAAATGAATTTAAGTTATTACTTTGACTCATTTATACAATTTAATTTAAAATATGTTGCAGCAGCTGTATTTTTTCCTTTTTAAATAAAAAATTATGACTTATAGCAAGCAGTTTCATTGACTGATAGTCATCTTAAGAGTTGTATAGTTTAAAAGAACACTATCTAAAGCTCCAGGGGGGAATTTAAATATTAATGGTATTAATTTATCTAGCAAAGCCAAAATCTAACCAAATCTAATGCATTTAAATTTTAGCACTGAATTTACGATTATGTTGCACAATAATCTATTTTATTCATCTTTTTAACGGCTGTAATTTTAAATGAATAAAATTTGATCTGTTTTCCTCAGATATTAACACACGTTTTTCAATAAAACACAGTTGTGAGGCTAGGTTTACCCCACTGATAATGTGTTGCTGCAATAGTAATTATTCACAATATAAACATTTATATAAGTATGACTGTGCCTGTAGGAATAGAAGACTGCATCACCCTGCAATTCATTATATCACCACAGGAGGGAGACAAAACCCCTGCAGCTGTGACCCCCAGCCAACCTTAATCATTGAAACATCAGATCGATCAGTTCTGATGCTTAAACTTGCTTTCTGAGAACCTGACGCATCATTTTGCTTTCACTGGGAATTTGTTTCTTTTTTTTCTAGTTATTTCGGCTGCACTTTGCACTCGTTCAACATTTCTCGCTTGTATCCAGTATCTTTGACAGACAGGACATAATTGTTGCTGAACTCTGGAGTTTATATCACAGTCTGATATTAACAAGGTTATATATGCTTTACGCTTATGGTCTATTTCTTGGCTTCCATGGTAAAATTCATCCTAAGATGCTTAGGATGAATTTAGGTTTTTATTATAGCAGTCCAACCTTTTAAGGATGTGTCACTTATTATTATTATTATTTTTTTTTTCAAAAATAAACATTTTCACAAAGATAAGTTGGTCAAATGTTCCTTGAACATAAACTCTTTTTTTTACTTTTATATTTTAACTGTTGGAACTTTAAATCAGTTTCCCTGCGATATAAGTATAAGGTGGCACAGAGGCCAATTTCTTTTAGCTGTGAAAACCAAGCTGGATGGTGATGCTAGTGAAATACAAACTATAGGTTAAGTACTTCTGATAATAGATGCATTATTGTTTAGTCTCCATATCAGGCAGTAATCCCAGAAAAAAAAAAAAAAACTTCTTATGTTCTAGCATCATAAATGTAATGCTGTAGAGCTCCTTAGCCACAGCAGGAACTTTATTTGGAGCTGTGTTGTTTGCTCAGAGGAGGGATCCATTTGATTCTGCAGTTAAACACAGGTTGGATATATGGAAAAGCACCTCATGCCCGCTGTAAAATACGATTAATGACATGTGATGCTGTTGTAATGCATACATAATAACTCTATGTTAAATACAAGTATTGTGTAATCAATATCAGCCTGTTCTGTTTACATTTCAATCAGCCATGTGTTCTGTTCAGCAAATCCAGGTCAATTATTTACCTTCTCAGTGAATAGTTCCCATCAGACCCTGAAAAAGATAAGTTTTTAGTACTACAGTGTATTATCATGCAGATAAATAAGAAGGAACAAATCTGTTAATGGTAAGAAGGGGAGTCACAATTACTGATAGAATGAAAGTGTATAAATATAAATAGTATTTTTTTTTTTTAAACAAAGTGAACATAAATACAACTGGTAACTCAGGCTTACAACAAAAAGTCTAACATTGAAGCATAAATGTTTAAAATACATTTTACAGTGTTATCATTTAAAGTATGTTATTTTGAAGTTATCAGATTCTCAGATGCCTAAAAAAGCACCATGCCTCTTCCTATTGCCATGCTGTAAGTAAAAGAAACAAAAATGGTTCCATCCCAGCTGCCATTAGCCTTCTCTTATACTTTTTTCAGCAGGAGCTACTAGCTACTTCATGCTGTGGAGGGGCAACGACATCCTGCAGGAATACAGCACAGAAAAAAATTTTCAGGAATTTGAAGGAACAGATAGAAAATAGGTTGTTGGATTTAACATTTTCTCAACAGGATGATGGCAGCCAAATTGGCCAGTGGTTAGAGAACTGGGTGGTTGTGTAACAGAGAGGCTGCAAAGGTTTTTGCTTCAAACCCATAAACCCCTGATTCCTTCCTATGTTCCTTTGTACTGTGGCAGCTTACTACTCTCTAAGGATCATTTAACTGCAAAGAACACATTTAAAGGTGTAGTGGAGGATCTTTGCAAAATTTTAAAAAGACCCTCCCTCTCCACTTAAAAAAAAAATGCACATGCACAACCCTGTACCTGCTCCCGAGAGGGAACGCCTATTAGATGGCTGTGTGAATCTGACTATTAAACCTGTGTGAGAGCATGCACAAGTCTATTTCTCCTCATTTAAAAGTTGCTGTTTGCATCGCTCATACAAGCTTACTTTCCCAAACAAGATTTGCAATTTTTCCATTATGTCAGGCTCACCACCGGTATGTGAAAATGTCACAAGTATGTAGGAGAGCCTTACGTAAACATATCGCCAGAATGACTGACAATTAGAAGGACGAATATTTTAATGATCCACCTGGCAAAAGAAATCTTCCTCTATACCTTTAAATTTCAAAATATTTCTAGACCTTGCCATCAATTTTAACCCTTTATAGGACACTCAGTGAAATAATTTGAAAATCAAAATTTTAAGCCAATGTCAATTTCAATTAATAACAACAAACATCAACTTGCTTGAACATATTAAGAAAAATAACAAAGTGTTTCTATAAGAAATTCATGAAAAACACTCATGAAACGTCAAAGAAACAATTTTTTTTTGGTAAAACATAACCTTAGAGGCATTAATGCTGATACTGGCACTTACATTTTTTAGTTTATAAACCTAAATATAATTGTTAACTAGGCTTATTCAATTTTACCCTTACTTTTCAATTAGCTTTTTACCTTTTTTTTCTTGACTTTTTTACTTTTTTAAGCTTAATTTACAGGAGGTAATATATTTCTCATCTAATTGGTCAAATGCCAAAATAAGATATACAGCCATGTAGCAGTATCCTTGCTGAATGGCTGGATATAGATCTTGTGCTTCTGGACCTCACTGAGGGACAGGGGGGACTCAATTTGTAAGGAGTATGCACCCCATTTGTAACGGGTATGCAAGTGATCAAAAACAGTACCTTGCCCTATAAAGGGTTAAAGAAACTGCCTCTGGTTGTAATGTAAAGTAATGGTGGATGCATATACAGCATAGACCACAGATGGCATCAGAAGTGTCACGTAGATTTGTTTAAGAAACTATATTTTCTATCATGCATTTTGCAGTTTTTAAGACCTATTTAGGCTATGTTTAACAGTTGAATTACAACTATATTTTTGTATAATTCATATAGTTGACAGTAACTTAAAAAAGTCAGGTAGAGTTTCCAGTATTTTTTAATTTACCAATAAAAAAACATATCACTTATTGTTCTCATATTTAAGTTTAAGGATATTTATTGGATATGGATGAAAATGAATTGGCTGCAATATTACCAGTGACTTCATCATTATACAATACTATTTGTCTTATTTTTTTTTTCACATCTTTACCGGAGGATCCAATAAATGTTGCTGGCACTATTTTTCATGAGAGAGTAAAATACAAAAAAACTAAAGTGAGAATGTCAATGTAAAAAATGGAGAGAGAGAAAAGACATCTTAACAATTGTTCTCTGATTTCAGTCTGAGGTGTCCAGCAGACACAAATACCGAAACAGAGACCTTGCACCATGTTTCACCTTCAAAGGATTTAATAGTGGAGCCAGGAAAAGCATGCATAGTCTGGAAATGAACACCTACAATCACACACACTTCAAGGTTTGTTCTCTTGACGGGTTAAAGACGTGTTAACACACTTGCTGGACTCGAGGCTTCAGGTGCAGCAAACTGAGCTTGAACTTTAATACCACAAACTGCTGAGTCACAAACGAGAGCACACTCATCACACAATCATTTAATTAAGAACTGAAGCCACCTCCAAGGACAGAAGGGTCCTTTAATTAGACTCTGACTTTGAGCTTCTCATCCGTGTTCTCCTTTACAGAAAAGAAAAGTTCTTTCATTGTGATAAAAACCGAGAACAGAATCACTTCAGTGGATGACTGGCCCTCTGCAGAACATCCATGTATCATTTACTTTCATTCTCCTCAGACTCATGCTAAAGCTAAGATCTCCGTTATTGTGGTGAATATAAGCACAGGCTATTTTCTTTCCTTCTGGGACCGATCCATGTGAGTGCTCAGATTAGCTGCATGTGAGTAACACACAGATCATCTTAAAACATCATCAGCTGAGTGCTGGTCTTACCAAACTAAATCCTAATGCTGCTGCTGAACCTCACTTCTCTTAAGCTGTTGCTTAAAAGAAGGGAGGTACAAAGCAGAAAAAAGCATTGATCATGTTTTAGGTGAGGCACTGCAAAATTAATGAATGGTTTTGAAACTAATTTTTTATGAATGCAAAAAGACAGAGGAAGATGAATAAATGTCAGTCACTGCAGCTGACCTTATAATAAGTCTGTGGCTCTGAGGTAAAACATCGTAAAAAGGCATCTGAACTAATAAATATCTTACTTTTATTGTGTAACCTGATTTAACATGTTTAAACATGTTTCAACATGTTTAAACATGTTTCAACATGTATACACAGAGTGTACACAAAACGAAATTTTGTTTAGTACAGCTTTCATGACATTTCCATTCCTTAAAGTGAAGCAGTGATCAAATGTAAACAGAGTTGGAGAAAAAAAAACATGGTGCAAAAAAGTGCATTGATATGTGGAGGTTTTTAGAAGACTCAAATCCAAAGACAAAAGTTGAGGTGGTTTCTTGCAGATTTAATAAAAAAAAACATTAAAATACAAAGTCCAGAACTGATTGACAAGGAGACCTCAAGAACCAAAAGAGCTAGGACACACGAGGGAGGAATAAACCAAAAGAATGATGAGAATCCAGCAAAAAATAACTGAAAAGGGAGGAGTATATATGGGAGACAGAAACAATGGGAGGACTAATTAGCTGATAGGGAGCAGGTGTAGACAGAAGTAACTAGAAGGAGCTAAGAGAAGGAAGACTGACGCAAGGGGGCAACAGAAAGTAACTTAAAAATTAAAACATGTCTTAATATAACACAAAATGGAAAAGACACCAATGATCAAGAAAACACAAAAAAACATAAATTCAAAGTGTAACTTTGAACTTAAAAAAAAACTTAAACAGAAGTTCACAAAGGGCACAATCATGACACTGCTGTATTTTATTCAATAATTTAGTTTTGGGGGGAATTTGTTGGATTTAAAAAAAAAAGGTTTTTGGTTATTTTTTTTAGTTCATTTTTCTTGTTTTTTGTTTACAATTTACAAATTCTAATCTAGAAAAACAAAGCAAATATGTTTTAAGCTATAAGGGTGTTTGCTGACTCATAGCTGGGCTATCTGAAAAAACTGTTAAACAGAAATACATGAAAAAATAGTGCAATTAAGAAATGAAGGTAGCATGATGTTTAGAAGGATTAATACGCATAGAGTCAAATAATCAGCAAAGTTTAAAATGTTTTAGAGTTTAATATGATAAACCAACAATAGATCATGCCTGTGACAAATTTGCACAGTATGCACCATGCTAGCCGTGCCTATGTATGTAAATTATGCAATTAATGGGGAGCTGGTTTTATTACATTTCTTTGTTAATGATAGATGCACCATTTCCTTTAACCAAAGGATTTGCTTTTCTTTTTAAAAGCAAAACATTTACAGTCATGGCCAAAAGTTTTGAGAATGATTCAAATGTTAATATTTACAAAGTCTACTACTTTTGCATATACAAAAATGATTTGCATATACTCCAGAATTTTATAAAGAGTGATCAGCGTAACAGCAGTT